ACACAGGAAGGAGGGCCACCACTTTACTGCTCCATTTAGCCTTCAGAGGGAGCACATCTGAGTTTTAACAATTATCTCAGACGTGTAGCTTCAACCTCATTTTCTGACACGCTCTCCCCCATTCTCCAGCCATCTGTAAAAACTTACGATTTTACAAAACAAAACTCTCATGTATCTGTGTCTTTTTATACATTTTTTTTCCTGCCTGGAGTACCCTTTCCTTTTTATATGCACAACATATTTCCTCCAAGTCTTTTCTCAAATATTCCCTCTTCCATTATGCTTTGTCTGTGCCCTACAAGTATTGTGGTTTCCTCCAGCTCACAGCAATCTAAGAGCTCTTTGGACAACAGTCTTAGACCTTACCACATAAGATTATTAGTGTCTGTTTAGCTCTCTGTCTTCTGTACAGGACTATGAGCAACTTGAGAGAGTGGTCTCTTCATCATTGTAATCCCATCCCTGGTATGGTAATTGGCACACAGCAGATGGTTGACAGCTGTTTCCTGATTTAATAAATATTTCTGTGAGATAGGCAGAGCAGGTATTTTCAGCAACATGTCCCAAAAGAAGAGACTGAGACCCAGAGAAGAAAAATGCCTTGCCCATGGTTACACTGCTGATCTGTTCCAAAGTTGGGATTCACAACCATGGCTCTTAATTCCTTCTCTGATGTTTATTCTACTACAACAGAGTTTCTACTCTGTCTAGGGGTAGCATCTAAAATAGCTGGGTTCTTTGGAACAAGAGGGACACTTATGTTGACCTGTAAATCCCTCTGTTAGAGTGAACTTTTAAACAGACTCAATTTGCCTGGAGACCAGTTTCTTGCTTGGAGAATAAAGGCAGTCCTTGTTATTTCAAGGCCATGATTTCCACATGGAACTGGCAAAAATGAAATAATGTGAGGAAACTTCTCAGGAATATTTTTTTTCCTTTCCACCTTCCAGCTCAAATGTTAGTTCCCCTGTGAAGCCCTGCCACACATCTGGGCCCATGTCCCCAGGTTTCAGTGAATCCTGTAATTTTTAGCTCATAGCACTTCACTGTCAGCTTTGTGTGAAACTTCCATTATGCCTTATAGTACAGTGAATGATGTGTCCCATCATTCCTCCTAAGATATGAGCTCTTGGAGGGCAGGAGTTGATATCCTTGCATGAAGAGTGCACAGAGTAATTTGGGATTGACTGAAGACTTACACTATTATTTCCTTCTCACCTCATTGTAAGCTTTCTCAGAGCCCAAAATGAACCATTCCATCTCTTCTATGCTCTTACTTCTGTTCATTAGAGTGAGATTCACTAAGTGTGGCTCTGTGAGTCAGTTGCTAGCTTAATGAATAAGGAACTACAGGTGGAATCCCCTAGAGCAAAAGCCTTTACAAAAAAAGACTGTGTGAAACAAGCTATCAATGCTTGGTTGATCTGATTACATTAAATCCTATACAACTAACAGTCTGGCCCAAATGCTTTCCCTGGTTCCTGGCCATTTCAGAGGCAGATGCTATAATGAACACGCAAGTGCAAGCTATTTGCATCTAAATAAGTAGGAGAAGAATTTTACTGATGAAGTTTGTGGGAGGCGGGTTCCTGACATGCAGAATTTAGCCTTCAAATAGTTTGTCTTTGGAATATTCAAAGCACATAAAACTGACTCAGTCATACAATAAAAAATTTCATGGCCTTAATATGATAGTAACCCACACTTAATTGGTTCAGAGCACCACTTTCCTCTTGGTGATTAAACATGGAGAAACTAGTGCCTATTTCTTTTGAGCTAAATGTAGGACACCATTACTGTGTAACATAATCCATAGCTGACATTTTGTGCAATGTATTCAGTTTTACAAATTTCACTGTGTCAAAGTTTTCCTGAGTTCCAGAACTGCATTTCCAACTGCAGCTTGTCATGTCCACCTCAGATTCGTTATTTAAAACTGATAGCCCACACCTTCCCTTATTAGAGGAAATGATGTGATGTAAAGGGGAAAAAAGGTTTTCACTAGCAGAATGACTTGGGTCTCTATACCAGCTCTGCCACTTATTGGTGGTGTGAGTTTGCTCTATTGAAACTTCAGTTTACTAACTGTAAAAATGGGGATATTAACAATAAAAATAAAAACACTTCACAGAATGGCAAGAAGTATACCAAGCAATTTACATGCCTTATCTCATTTACTTCCTGCAATGGCCTATGAGGCAGGCATTGTTATTATTTGCCTCATTTTACAGAGGAAGGACCAGGAGCAGTCTTACTGCAGAACCCACCTTCTTAATAACCATACTATATTATGCTTCTGTAGTATATACACATGAACATGGCTGTGAGGATTAAATGAAACAAATACATGTGAAGCGACTAGCACAATATATGGCATATAGCAAATCCCCAAGACATGTAAACTCCTAACTATCCCCTCCTCTCTCCAAAATATCTCCTTCTTCTCCTATAATGAGTTTTTTGTTGTGGTGGTTGTTGTTGTTAATAACATCACAATTCACTCAGTATCCAGGGAGAATATGTCAGGGACATTCTCAATGCACCTTTTTCCTCAATACCCTATATTCAGTTGGACTTCAAGTTCTATTGAAAACCTTTCTCATCATACTTGCCCTTCTTCCACTCTCACTTCTCACTGCCTTTTGTTGTACCTCTGTCAGTCTTCCCTGGACTATGAAAGGGTCTGCTAACTAGTATTTCTGTCTATTTATCTTCCAGAGTGCACCCATGGATTTTAATTAAAAAAAAAAAAAAAACGGGGATTAGCAAATACTTGCCAACTGTTCACTAAATCCACTTTCTCGTTTTCTTGGCAATGTTTCTTTTCCCACCATGTCCATGTGACCTCATTCTAGTTAAAGTAATGTCAGTAGAAATGAGTATGCCACTCAAGGCCTAGTCTATAAATACCTCTCATATACAATCTGTCATGCTCTTTCATCTTCTGTTGACTTAATACAAATAAGCACAGTGGTCTTGAAAACCATGTGTTGCACCACTTGGAAATGAGCCACTTGTCAAGGGGGAACACCTGCTTTGAACTTTCAGAAGCAAGAAATATACTTCTATCATGTTTGAACTTTTATTCATTTTGGGGTTCAGCAACTTGTGTTATCACAAATTCTCTTGTCATATCATTCACTTTAAAAAACATTATGTTGGTCAAAGGATGCATATTTATAATTAGGTAGGAGTAATAAGTTCAAATGATCTATTATACAGCATGGTGACTAGTTGACAATAATGACGATACATTGTATTATTGGAAAATGCTGAGAATGTTCTCATCACAGAAGGATATCTATGTGAGGTAATGCATTTGCGAATAGCAAGATTTAATTATTCTGCAATGTATATATACTTAACATCATGTTGTACACAGTAAATACAATTTTATATGTCAATTAAAACATAAATAAATCTGTAAAAACAATAATGCTTTCCTGTAACTACAGGATAAACATATTCTGTATCACTTTTTCATTATCATCCCTCATCTGTCATGCACAAATCCTTCCAAATAGGTATGCTTTTGGCTATATTTCCTACTCCCTTTCTTTATCACTGCCATGTTCCAAAATCTGATTACTCTTCTTTATTCTATGGAAATGTTAACAATTGGGTCATCATTTATATTATACCCCAATACTTCTATTATCCTAGGCAACTTATTTGCTTATAGAAACCAGCCATACAACATCCTGAACCCCACACTTCCAATTAGGCACCAACTGCTATCAGTGCTACCTCTTGAACATACTGTATGTCCACAATTCTTTCTCAAAACCTAATTTAGTGGGAAAAGCAGTAACCTGAAGCTAGAATAAGTGTTGTGAAGATTAGAGATGTTTTACATAAAGTACCTAACAAATTGTAGGTGTTCAACACGTAGTATACTACATATACATAGTATATATAATACATAGTTGTCATTAGGATTATCATTTGAGTATTATGGCAGCTTCTTAGCTAGGCACCTCATCTTCAGCCTTGCCTTCCTCTAATCTGCCTCCTACACTGCTCCCAGAGTGATCTATCTTAAATGCAAATTTGTTTGATTTCTTCCTCCGCAATAAACTCTTTAATGGATCCTCATCATGTTTATGCCAACATAGCATATAAGCCCCTCCCTCCACCTCAGACTGCTTTCCTGCACTGTACTCTGGTCCAGTCACACTGAACTTTTAGTCCTTCAATGTATCATCACTACCTTCTCCTCTCACTCTTCAAGCCTTTATACATGCTATACTCGAACTCTGGAATAGTTTCTCCCTGTCTTTTAATTTACTTCTACAGATCTTTTAGGTCTCAGAAATCATTCAGAAGGTGATTTCCTCTGGAATTTATTGTGGCTATTCCCCACAGACTCATTTCACTGTCCTTGCTAGATGCTCCCATAATACTCTCTATTTCCCCTATCAGGTCTCACAAAGAAGCATGGATTTTCTGATGCATGATGTCGATTCATGAATATATGTCTTTGTGCATACTATTTCTTCTGCCTGGAAAACCCTCCTCTACCTCAGCCCTGTCTCTCATTTGTTTGATATTCACCTACACTTCCTTCAAGATTCAAGGGACAAACTATGCATCACCTCCTTTTGCAGCTTTTTTTGATAACCCCATATCATTTTAGATGTGACTTCTCCTGCAATTCTAGCACATTTTGCACCTCCATTTCAGGAATTTTGTATTCCTGTGCAGCTATCTGTGCACAGGTCTCTGTAACTGTAGAGTCATTAAGAGCATGACTTGTGCCTTCCAGAACTTTAAACATAATAAGCACTCGTGAATGTGCTGAATGAATGTTTTAAGTCAATAGGATAAAATCTAGTTAAATTCAATAAATAGTTATCCTTCATATTCAGATAGTCAATAGGACTTTTTTACTGTATTATATATTATGCAACATTTATATACAATGAACACATTTACCTGTATCCTCATAAACAAATAATATGACATTAATAGAGATGAAGTTCTCTATATGTCCATACCTGAATAATAGAAAATATTTTATAAATGTGTGTATCATCTTGGGCTGGGCTCTGCTAATTATCTATGCATTGTTCCAATTTTAGTACGTGTGCTGCTGAAGTAAGCAGCAGGTAATAGGTTTTAGCCTGTATTTTTATGGTTGTTCTGAGGTCCCAAGATGAGGCAAAGCAAGGCTTCTTTCTACACTGCCCTAGTTACATACCCATGCAATGCTTGCTCAGATTTTAGTAGGAAGCTGTCCTACTGTAGTCTCCCCATGGACTCCAGATAAGATTCCTGAGGGTCAAAATAATAATAGGGATGCTAAAGAATAACACTTTCCGAAAAATTGTAAGTATTCTGCAGACCTTATTCAATTTTTGCTTTTCATATGCCTGTAAGACAGGCAGCAGCTACATTACTATCAGACTAGAGAAAGCAGACGGTTTGTGACTTGAGAAATGTCACTAGGTGAATTAATTGTGGGGCTGTAAAAAGAGCCAGGCTTTTATTTTTCCATTTTGAGCCTAGGTCTCCCTCCAGGCCCACCTCCCTGGACCCAAGGTGCTACTGTGTAGGAAACCAATGACTTCATCATGCTTCCATGCTTCTGTACTTCTTCTATTCTGTAAATCTGAATAAGCACAAGGGCATTCTACATAGACTCTAATCTCATCGAACTTGACTTTCTTGTCCAATTCAGACTAGGATAAAGGGCCCAGTTATCATCATCTTCCCATTCATTCAACTTTATTTCAAGGCAACTAATCCTTTGCTCGGCTTCATCCTCTGCCCTCCTCAACCTGCATCTTCTATTTTTTTTATATTTCAATATTCCTATCCTCTCTCCTTTCTTCTCTCTTCTCTATCCCTCCCCGAAAACTTAAACCTATCCTCTATGCTTTATTCCTTTTATTGTTGTTTCTCCTCTATCCTGTTCTTTTCATTCATTCTCTATTTCTTCTCACTATTTGCAATCTCTACTGTGTTCAGATCCTTTCCTGCCCATTACTCTCTCCCTCCTCTTGCTTCTCTTCCATTTGCTTACTGTTTTCTGCCCATCCACATCTCCTCATTATTCTGTCCCTCCATCCACCTCATTCCATACAGTTTCTTTTCTGTTTACATCTACTCCACTCCATTCTTTCCACAATTGTGTGAACTCTTATCTCTTTTTCAAACTCTTCTCTTTCCTATAGTTTATTACAAGCATGCCTCTTCCATCTATTCCTTCCCTAATGCTCTGTTTCCCCAAATTCTCCTTGATATATTACATTCATTCATACCTTTTCTCTGTCCTATCCTCCCCACCTTCATTTCAACATTTATATATAACCTCATAAACTTTCATGCAATGTGAGAAGAGGTGTCCCTCTTCCTTTCAAGTAAAACTCTAACTGTAGATTTGATATCATCCCCTTTATGGTATTTATGAGAACTTGCTGTCAGCGATGTGTTATTTCTACTATATCCTCAATCTTTGTCTTCCTACTGACTCTTTTGTACTATCTTACAAGTATGTGTCAGTCTCTCCTCTGAAAACAAAGGCAATTTCTCTTATCCCTGAATGTAGCTATGATACCTTCCTCCCTTTCATTTTCAAACAAGCTTCTCAAAGTTATTTCCTATGTGCACTATCTCCACTCCAACTCCTAAAACTCTCTATTGCACTAGCCACTCTATTGAAACAGTGTATGTGAAGAATACTAATATCCTCCATGGTACCAAACTTAAGACATACTTCTAAGTCTCTATATTACATCTCTTTCTATAGCCAACAATGTTGTAAAAATGTGTAAACAGGGTAAAGTGCATGAACTTGCAGCTACCCTACCATATTAATAATGCTGGCTTAACCATCTACTACCCAGGTTAACTTGAAAAATTCTCTTACCCACGTCGTGTCTTAGTTTTTTTTTTTTCATCTGTAAAGTTGGGATAATAGTACCTATCTCATACAGTTACTAAAGTTGTTAGGAATATTATAAAAGTAGAATGATTAGAACAGTGTCTGTCATATTTTGCACACTATATTGATGTTAATTAATATACTTATTATACTATTAGTGGTGTTATTGATAACTCTCATTGTTTTGAAACTTTAATTTATCAGTCAAGACAGGTTAGATTAATATGCAGTAGGAAACAATCTGAAAATCTCAGTGCCCTAAAGTAACTGAAGTTTATTTCTCACTCACACTATCTCTGGTTGGGGCAGGGGGACCCACTCGCTTCTATGTCATCTTCAATAAGGGGCATAGAATGATAGGGCAAAGACCACCTGGCATAATGCTACTTACCGTGGCTAGGGGAAGGCAACATGGCAAATTATGTATTGGCTCTTGAAGGGCTTCCCATCCTCTCTCAGAGCTGACACATGCTATTTACACGCACATTTGGTTAGCCAAAGCAAGTCATTTGTCCATGCTGAACTTCAAGGCTCAGGGAAGTATAGTATTACTTTGTACCCAGATGGAGGTGAAGTGAAAATATTGGCAAGTGGTAGTATTGACTACCACACTTAGCTTTCAAGATACTGCACACTGTTAACAGCTCCCTGACATTTTCTTCCTGGTTTCTTTCATAGGTTCCTCTTTCCCCTCCATTGCCTTACTGATAGTAATGCTAGATGACTAGATACCTGGCATGAAATTCTTCTTACTCTATACTCTTTCCTGAAGTGATGACATCCATTTTTACGTTTCCATTTGTTCCAATATAGTAACAATGCCATACTTTATATCTCTACATTGTATCTCTCCCTTGATCTTAAGACTCGAATATCCAACTACTATTAGACTTCTTTCCCTGGATAATCTACAATCACCTTAAGCTTATCTTGTCCCAAATTAACCTCACAGACTTATCTACATTTGTCCTAACTTTCATATTGTCTAGTCCAGCCTATAGTACCATCTTTCACTTATGTTATTTGGATACCTACTACCTTCACAACTCCTCCTCTCTGTCATTCTGAAGTTTTCTAGATTTACTGCCTATTTCCTCAACATATCGTCACTTCTCCATCTTAATCCATTGTTCTGAATTAGAACACCACTTCTAATCTAGACTATTTCAGCAGTTTCTTAATCATTTTCTCTAATTCCAGTCTTTTTACCTTCAAATGCATTATTTACCCAGTAGCTGCACAGCCATATGAAATAGAAAACTGACCACCTCAGTCTCTTGCCTAAAATACGTCCTTCCATTCCCTACAACTGCTCACTTGGTTTTCTCTGTCTAGAATGTCCTTCCTCTCTTCCTTCTGCCTAGAAGTTTCTGGACTGCATTCTACTTACATAATAATATAAAATGCTAATGCTAATACCAATAATCAGAAGCCTAGCTCTTGCCTTATCCAGGGACTCTTCTCTCAACCTGTCCCAAAAGAATGAGTTAGATGACCCTGCTCTATATTCCAATAACTACCCATCTCTTTAACATTTTAGTTAACATCATTTGCTATTATGCTATTAGTCTTTCTCCCCTATTATATTATGATTATCTTAAGAAGAGAGACTATGTCTCATTAATGTTTGCATTTCCAGAATTTACTTTAGGGCCATGTATATATTAGGAAGTCAAGACATGTTTGGCAAATGAATAAATGAAGGAAAGCTTCTCTTTCTTCTGTCTACAATTTCCCTCACTCTTGTTCATCTCCTCCCATGTCCTTTCCTCTACTTCTCTATGTCTTTTCCTCTTTATTCCCACCTACTACATCCACTTCATTATATTCTCCTGTCTCTTTAGGATTTTCTAATATCTAATCTAGCTTCTTTATTTTACACCATCTTATCCTTTGTCTTCTCAACTTCTCTACTCTTTTTTTCCTCTCTTCTCATATTCTCTTTCTTTTCACCTTTCTCATTTCTCCAATATATATGCCTCTATGTACTCTGTGTAATTAGTCTTCTCCTCCCCTCTCAACCCTCATCTTCCCACTTCTATCCACTTTCCTTCTTCATTATTTTATCCTCCACTCTATGGTCATATCTCCTCTATGCTCATTTTTCCTCCTGTCTCTCATCCAACTTCTCTCTTAAGTAATTATTATTGCCCTTTTTTCCTTGATCATCTCCTCATCTTCCAAATTCTTGTGGGAAAAACACCAATAAATAGCAAATTTGAAGTAATGAGAGATTAGTATACAGACAAACACACTTCATTTCTTCACCACCTATTTACCAGGCATGCAATATTTGAGTTTTCTTCTGCAAAATAACAAATACACCAATTCTAAATAGCCATAGAAGCTCCACTACACAAAATTAGCACTCATTAATGTGGGAGGAAGCTTCAGGAAGTGACAATTGATATCAGAGGAACAAGAAAATTCATAAAAAGCAAACCCAAAAACCAAGAATGTTTTTTAGTATTGGGGAAAGAATCTTATTGCATCGAAAATCCTTTCAAACTTATTCTTTTTGACAGCAAAATTCAATGCCTAATAACTCTATGATAGTAATAAGTCATGAAATAAATAAAATTGTGATATTTTTATCCATTGGGAGGTGGAAAAGTATGAAATATAATTTATATTTTATGTGATTTAAATATTATATACACACACACATATGCACACACATATAAACACCATGTATAGATAGACATAGATATAATCTTAAATTGTTTGGAAAATTCACTTATTATCATCCTCAGTATCCTAAGGTAATGTAGCACAAAATAAATATATTTAAATAAATAAAAATTTTAAATAAGTATTTTAAAATTTATCTTTATAAAACACTGTATGTTTCACAAAATACCCATAGTTATCTCATTTGATACTCACAACTCTGCATCATAGGGATAGTTTGCCGCTGCATTTAAACCTAGTCAATTCTAATTATCAGTGTTCATGCCTGTGTGTATGTTTTTGTGAATTTGTGTATTTAAGTGACCGTGAATACATATGTCCTTCTGTGTTAGTCCACATGTGTCTTTGGGTATGCATGCATACACAAATCATGAACGTATACCTCTGTGTTTCTCAAAATGTTCATCTATGCAACTCTCTATTTATGTGTTTATTAGAATATATATGTCTGTGAGTATGTATGCATGCAATTATATTAGGAAGTGTATATATACCTGTACATTTCTAATCTATACACTTGAGAGAATT